CTTTCTCTGTACATGCCTGGCGCCCAATATCTATATTTTTTTGTTTATTGTTATTGATTAGTTTTCTCTCTAGTGAAATACCTTACCCACGACTGCTCTCCGATGAAAAGCTGCCGTTCGCAGTGGTAATGTTTATAAAAAACGCTACAAAACTAACAACCATTGCTAGTGATGTGTACAACTATCGAGGTTCGGCAAACATTCGATAATATAATATATTATCGAATGTTTGCCGAACCTCGATAGTTGTACAAAAACGTATAAACGATATAAAGAAAAGAAATGTAACGAAAATATTTTCGTTACAGTACAGGGTTCCAAAAAGCACAATTTCTAGTACCCGTTCTTAAAGCCATTTACACTGTGCTACAAGATTGCATAAAGATTCCGAACTGTGAAGAAAAATGGAAAGAAGTTGCTGAAAGATTTAATTCGAGGTGGAATTTTCCAGGCTGTTGCGGAGCAATAGATGGAGAACATATACATATAAAGTACCCTGCAAATAGCGGAAGTGAGTTTTAAAATTACAAAGGATACTTTAGTACAGTTCTGTTTGCTATGGTTGATACTAATTATGAATTTTTATACATAGATGTCGGTTCCAACGGCGTTTGAAAACCGCATTGGAAAATAATTCATTTTGTTTTCCAGATTGGGGAGTTATTGTCGGAGACGACGCGTTCCCACTTAAAACGTATTTAATGAAACCGTATTCAAGGAATGGAATGACCCAAAAAGAAAAAAATATTTAATTATCGTCTTTCGAGAGCCGGACGAATATCGGAAAATGCTTTTGGGATACTTGCATCCAGATTTAGAATATTTTAAGAGGTATTGAAGTTTCTCCGGATAAGGTAGATTATATAGTAAAAGCAACATGTGTTTTACATAACTGGTTGCGAAGAATATCAGCAAATACTTACATACCACCAGGAACAACAGACTACGAAGATATTGATACTGGTAATATAATACCTGGATCATGCAAGAGAGATGTGGAAAATAATCAAGTGCTTCTGCCGGGACATTCTTGGGGTACCCACAATTATTCTAAACAAGCCGCTGCCCGACGAGACAACTATGCGGTATATTTTTTGAATAATGGTGCTGTTGACTGTCAATGGATTATGATTTAAGGAAAAGTCTAAAATTCTCTTGATTAGTCATGTAAAATTCCATAGAGTACATTGAGAACATTAAAATACCTAATACATTTAAAATGAAACAAAAAAGGTATTTAGTTAAGGAAGGTTTGTTTTATTAGTGTAAGTATTTACATGTTAACTTGAATTTCAAAAAAATAAACATTATTTATTATTGAAAGTAAATACGCCAAATAAAATGTAAAAAAAAAAGTTTTTCTTCCGTCAAATTTTAATCCTCAAAATTCCAACATCGTAATTTAAATGTCCGCCGTTGTAAACAAACTGTCAATTGCTTGAGACAAAATGTCACTATTTTGAACTGTGCTAGGTTCCCCCAATTCATTATCTACTTGCATAAATAATTGTTTTGGTGAATTGAAATAATTTGGTGGGCTATTGCTGTAGTCAAATTGCTGGATTTGTACTCCATTTGTTGGCGATTTTAAAACCCTTTCAGCTGGACTAATAGAGATGGAATGCGAGGATCGTGAAGCTGAAGATTTTTCCCTTTTATAGTCAAGTCGCTCCCTCACTATATCCTGGAATTCTGATAGACATTTTAAGGCTCGCTCAAGGGACAAATTCTTTAATTGGGATGCTATATTTATTCCAAAATAATCAAATTCGTCATTTTCCTGTACACCCTTTGTTAAATCTTCCAGTATTTCTATAGCGCTCGCAATATGATCTGGGACATCTCTTTTTTTTTCTTCCTCATAACCCCTGGTACCCCCTCACCACTGGATCTCTTATGGATGTTTTAACCTTGTTTCGCGCTTCCTGTGCCTCTTGTGTCAATTGTCATATTGGCAGCAAGGCATTTTCGATAATTTCTGGCCCATGGATAATAAACTTATATAGTGTAGGTGGCATGTTATACCACGGATACTTTAGAATAAAATAATTTGCGGTATCGAGTGCATACTTGCAGATTTTTCTGCGTCAACTTCATGGCCACTTGATATCACAATCAGTATGACATGGAGTTTTTCCATCATTACATACCATTACATTTCCATCATTATCATCATTTGTATTGCCAAATCCTGGTTTAGGCTTATCTACGATGAAGCCAGGTCGTTCTTTAAACTGAGCCTGGATATGTATTTTTGTTTCTGCAACAATATCTTTATCCGAGCCTCTTGCTTGCTATTTTGATTGGAATTTTATATAACAAATGAAGAAGGTATTCAAAATCTTATTCATCCATGCAACACCGAAATTCCAGACCAAATTTTTATTGATATCGTTAAACACTCTAGATGTTGGGTTTTGTTCTTTCTGTGGTGCTTCTGTAAAAAAACTCAATTGTACGACGTTAAGCTTGCATACTCACAGTTATCGAGATTAATAGGATATACTATTAAGAGGCACCATACCTAATAGGTAGACCTCTCTCATCGTAAAATTCAAATTCTGATAACATTAAGTTCAATAGATATAATTTTTGATTTATATTTTAAAACATACAACTCTGTAAATAAAATAAAGTAATACAATAATGAATGATGGATTACATATTTATTAGAGATATTATTTAGAGTACCTTTTTCTATCTCTAAATTATTTCAAAACATTAAATTGTTTAAGTTTACATTGTCTAGTGATAGAGGTTTAAAATTATTTGGATATTGTCTATCAACTAGAGACATATTGATTTTAGGTAGAATAATAGTAGTTGTTTTAATCCTATTATTAATAAAGTTTTGAATAATTAAATCGTTAATTTTAATGTCACATTGTCTATTGATGTCTACTAAATAAGTACCGCACAAAGGAATTTTCTCTTCGTTTTCATTGCACTTTTGTAACGCTACGGTATAACGCGGCACAATAATGACCCACTGGTTTGCGTTTAAACGTTGCACTTTATTTTGGTTTACTCGCACTGGCACTATTTTACAGTTGGAAGGGTGTTGATTCAGCTTCAGTAGTTGAACTTCACAGGGGTTGTCTTCGTTGTTGATTTCTGTTGAACTGATTTCTTCGAGGCATCAACAGCAACGAGAGGAACTCGTTGCTGTTGATTTCTTTACAGGGCTGATCCAAGAATGCTGGTTCATGATGAGGTATTTTGACATTGGAATAAGGATTTTGAATGTGTTGTTTCTTTGGATAGGCAAGGGGTATAGATGGAAATAATCATATTTTTCTTTTTCGACAAGAGGAATTTCGATAATAAAAACGATTTTGTTTTCTTTAGAGTAACTCTTTATCTCTATTGCTCTTTCGAAATGTATTAAGTTTTTTATTTCTGGTTCAAAAGGTAGTCTAATTGTTTTTATTATTTTTGATATAGATAATAGTTCAGAAAATAATTCTTTAGGGTTTACAATACTATTATGAAATGTATTTATTTTAGAAAAGGTAATTGCTGTTTCTATTCGTTCAAGTATATCATAGATAATTTGAAATTCTTTTGTTATATCATTTATAACCATCTCTATAAAAAAGAATGTATAAGTTTCTATGTATTCGATATCCCTTGTATATAATATATGTTCAATATTTTTAATATGTACGTTTATAATTTGTTGGTTTCGTGATAAGTTTTGTAGATTTGACTGAAATATATCGATTGATTTTTCAAAAAGTGAAATTTGATTGATCATAGAAATTTTTAATTTATCTTGATTTTTCGATAAATGCTCGATCGCTTGATCATATTTTTCAGCATCTTGAGAATCTAAATTACCAGTTATTTGTTTTGATATACATATAGATCATATTCTATTTATTAAACCTCGTTTTATTCTGTCATTTTTAAAGGATTTAATTGAAGACCTTGGGGGAAATAGACAAGCCACATTTCAAGCGTTTAGAGGAAAACACGATAAACGTTTTCCATTAAACTCTGAAATGAGGATAATTAAAACATACTCATAAATAATTGTTCTTGTTTATACGACAAAATAGTATCATTCAGTTTCCGCACAATAAGAAATGTCGTGACGGATTTTGAAAAAGATGAAATTTTGGTTTGAAAAACTTTTGCAAATATTATACATGTTAAATATTTACCAAAGAATGAAAAGAATGATAGGTAAAAATATTTATTGAAATCAAAATGTCAATGCAAAATCAAAACAGATATTAGGTTATTTGATTTCAACGAGAAAAATAAACTACTTAATCGGATTCAGAGTCATCATCGATATTTTCCACTCCTTCTTCTTGGTCTTCACCGTCATCATCGATTTCATTAACAGTAGTTTTGACACCAATACTAGCATAATAGTTGTGGTAAACTCCAGGAATATATGGAAGTAAAACCTTCAAATTCGCCAACTTTTTTGCATTAATAGGAACTGGGCCAACATACTCCTTTTCTAATGCATTAAGCTCTTCTATCTGTATTTTTTGACCTCTCTTCCCAATGTTGACTGCCTTGAATGCTTCATTCAAAAAATGCTTAATAAACATTGTATTATGATGACTTTCTTCGAACTTGAAGCAACGCACTTTGGAAAAATCCACATTTTCTTTTTCATCAGTCAACTTTTTCTTGCTTAGAGATTTACTTATTTTTTCAAAAGAAAAAATGTCATTCTGATTGATTCTATATACCGTAAATGGATTTTGAATTTTCGAATCTTTGACGGCCTCTACCCAACATTCAGGAGAGTAAACTTTCCCAAGTATTTTTATGCTTTTCAATTGCAGCAAAGTCTCGATCGCATGGTAAGTGCCCAGCGACAAGGAATCTATGTTCAATAGATTTATATACTTTAGTCCTTACTAGATGAAGCCATAATGCCATAATAGTCCAATTTTTATTTTGGCCCCCACAGTTATCAGTAAACACTATCAGGTGTTTGTTGGGAGTGGGAGGATGCTCCTTGATATATTTGAAAAGGCAGCTGGCTATTTCATCGGAGCCTCGTTTCGCCACATCTTCCGTCCACATATTCATATAACTTTTTCCAGTTTTACCGTCATAAATTCCTAAGTTATACATCCAGATTTTTCGTAAGTAGAAAGCTTTACCTACTGTAAGCTGAGGAATAGGCAAGGCTTGTTGTAAATCAAAGCATATAACTTCCAAGTCATTTTCATTTTTAGATCTTTGAATTTCATTCTTCATGTTTGTCTGCATCGCTTCTGCTCGTCTTTGGTGTAGGTCTAAATTTGTTTTGATTTCCTTCAATTTATTCTCATCACCTTTGTGGGTATTAAGCAAAGTATTATATGCATCACACGTTGCACACGTGTCGCTCCTTAGGGAGTTTAAATCCGATGTTGTATTCAGAACAAAATATTCTGCGATATCTATCTTCCTTTGCGGGAATAATGTTCCGTTCTTACCACCAAGGGATATAGTATTTTGTATAGTGTAATAGAATATAACGTGGCTTGTTACGTTTTTAACTAAAATTTTGAACGTTTTTGAAAGCTTAAAAATATTTCAATTATTGCAACTTGGAATATGCGTTGAGTATTTATTTCCACCTGAGTTTATGGAACGTACTCTTATTCTAAAAAAGGCGTAAGATTTTTGAATAGAAAGAGGTTAGGTTAGGTTATTTTAGATGGCTTGTGGCTTATTACCTTTTTGCATAAAATTTTATCAATTTCAGTTTTGGTGAAAACAACTGATAAAAAGGTAATGTATTATTTTTTTATCCAGGGTGGACGTGCTACTAGAGGATTCATCGAAACGCCGGAGGAAAAGAAGGCCGCCAGGAAAAGACAAATCAACACAGAATGCAGGAAGAAAGTTAAAGCCCAACATAGACGAAATCTCGGACATGGATATACCACTACAAAAGGAAAGACTCAAATACCTAGAACTTTGGGCCCACCATGTAGCTGCAAGAAGAAATGCAGAGAATTACTACACGGAGTAGAAATGGCGATATTTCAATCATTTTGGGACCTACAAACGTTCGATAAACAAAACGCTTATTTATTTGGCACAATCAAGAGTGTCGGTAAAAAACGAGTCTACCCAAAGAAAACCAAAAGGCAGACATCCTCAAGATCTACTACGTTTAGGTACTTTGTAAAAATCAACGGAAAAGACCAAGAAGTTTGTAAACAAGAGTTTTTATCTATCCATGGTTTGCAAAATTCAAAAAGACGAGTTTATAATATACTTTTGTATACATTTTTACACTACTTTGTAAAAATCAACGGAAAAGACCAAGAAGTTTGTAAACAACAGTTTTTATCTATCCATGGTTTGCAAAATTCAAAAAGACGAGTTTATAATATCTGTACCCAGATAAACCAAGGACTTCACACACCAAAGAGCGATGGTAGCGGAAGACACAAGAATCGGAAAAACAGGTTACCTGAAGAAACTCTCCAGTCTATTCATGACCACATTAAGGCCATTCCGAAATATCGTAGTCATTATAGTAGAGAACGTAACCGACAAAAATGCTATATTGATCACGATATATCTATATCTTCTCTATACAAAAAATACTATATCCCTTGCTGTCAAGAACGGAACATTATTCCCGCAAAGGAAGATAGATATCGCAGAATCTTTTGTTCTGAATACAACATCGGATTTAAACTCCCTAAGAGCGACACGTGTTCAACGTGTGATGAATATAATACTTTGCTTAATACCCACAAAGGTGATGAGAATAAATTGAAGGAAATCAAAACAAATTTAGACCTACACCAAAGATGAGCAGAAGCGATGCAGACAAACATGAAGAATGAAATTCAAAGATCTAAAAATGAAAATAACTTGGAAGTTATATGCTTTGATTTACAACAAGTCTTGCCTATTCCTCAGCTGACAGTAGGTAAAGCTTTCTACTTACGAAAAATCTGGATGTATAACTTAGGAATTTATGACGGTAAAACTGGAAAAAGTTATATGAATATGTGGACGGAAGATGTGGCGAAACGAGGCTCCGATGAAATAGCCAGCTGCCTTCTCAAATATATCAAGGAGCATCCTCCCACTCCCAACAAACACCTGATAGTGTTTACTGATAACTGTGGGGGCCAAAATAAAAATTGGACTATTATGGCATTATGGTATAGCATATATATTCATCTAGTAAGGACTAAAGTATATAAATCTATTGAACATAGATTCCTTGTCGCTGGGCACACCCACTTTACCATGCGATCGAGACTTTGCTGCAACTGAAAAGCATAAAAAATACTTGGAACAAGTTTACTCTCCTGAATGTTGGGTAGAGGCCGTCAAAGATTCGAAAATTCAAAATCCATTTACGGTGTATAGAATCAATCAGAATGACATTTTTTCTTTTGAAAAAATAAGTAAATCTCTAAGCTAGAAAAAGTTGACTGATGAAAAAGAAAATGTGGATTTTTCCAAAGTACGTTGCTTCAAGTTCGAAGAAAGTCATCATAATACAATGTTTATTAAGCATTTTTTGAATGAAGCATTCAAGGCAGTCAACATTGGGAAGAGAGGTCAAAAAATACAGATAGAGAGCTTAATGCATTAGAAAAGGAGTATGTTGGCCCAGTTCCTATTAATGCAAAAAAGTTGGCGAATTTGAAGGTTTTACTTCCATATATTCCTGGAGTTTACCACAACTATTATGCTAGTATTGGTGTCAAAACTACTGTTAATGAAATCGATGATGAGGTGAAGACCAAGAAGACCAAGAATGGTTACACAAATCGATGATGACGGTGAAGACCAAGAAGGAGGAGTGGAAAATATCGATGGTGACTCTGAATCCGATTAAGTAGTTTATTTTTCTCGTTGAAATCAAATAACCTAATATCTGTTTTGATTTTGCATTGACATTTTGATTTCAATAAATATTTTTACCTATCATTCTTTTCATTCTTTGGTAAATATTTAACATGTATTTTGCAAAAAGGTAACAAGCCACATTTTTTCCAAAATTTCATCTTTTTTTCAAAATCCGTCACGACATTTTTCTTATTGTGGAAACTGAATGATACTATTTTGTCGTATAAACAAGAAAAACAATTATTTATAGGTATGTTTTAATTATCCTCATTTCAGGATTTAATGGAAAACGTTTATCGTGTTTTACTCTAAACGCTTGAAATGTGGCTTATTACTATTTTCCCCCAAGGTCTTCAATTAAATCCTTTAAAAAATGACAGAATAAAACGAGGTTTAATAAATAGAATATGATCTATATGTATATCAAAACAAATAACTAGTATTAGATTCTCAAGATGCTGAAAAATATTATCAAGCGATCGAATATTTATCGAAAAATCAAGATAAATTAAAAATTTCTATGATCAATCAAATTTCACTTTTTGAAAAATCAATCGATATGTTTCAATAAAACCTACAAAACTTATCACGAAACCAACAAAATTATAAACGTACATATAAAAAATATTGAACATATATTATATATAGAAGGGATATCGAATACATAGAGACTTATACATTCTTTTTGATAGAGATGGTTATAAATGATATAACAAAAGAATTAAATAATAAAAACCGTCAGACTACCTATTGAGCCTGAAATAAAAAATTTAATAAATTTTGAAAGAGCAATAGAGATAAAGAAAACAAAATCGTTTTTATTATCGAAATTCCTCTTGTCGAAAATGAAAAACATGATTATTTCCATCTATACCCCTTACCTATCCAAAGAAACAATACATTTGAAGCTCCTATTCCAATGTCAAAATACCTAATTATGAACGAGAAAAACTTTGCATAATATAAAATATAGCATATTTGGATCAACTCTGCAAAGAAATCAACAGTAACGAGTTCCTCTGCGAAGACAGCAGTTCAACAGAAATCAGCAACGTATTGAAGACAACCCCTGTGAAGTTCAACTAGCTGAATCAACACCCGTTAAACTGTAAAATAGTTCCAGTGTGAGTAAACCAAAATAATGTGCAACGATTAAATGCAACCCAGTGGGTTATTATTGTGCCGCGTTATACCGTAGCATTTCAAAAGTATAATGATAATATAGAGAAAATTCCTTTGTGCGGTACTTATTTAGTAAATATCAGTAGACAATGTGTTATTAAAATTGACGATTTAAATATCCAGAATTTTATTAATAATAAGAATACAACAACCACTATTATTTTACCTAAGATCAATGTCTTTAGTTGATAGGAAATATTAAAATAATTTTAAACCTCTATCACTAGACAATGTTAACTTAATCAATTTAAATGTTTTAAGAAATAATTTAGAGATAGAAAAAGGTACTCTAAATAATATCTCTAATAAATATGTAATCCATCATTCATTATTGTATTACTTTACTTTATTTGGAAGTTGTATGTTTTAAAATATAAATCAAAAATTGTATCTATTGAACTTCCAAATACTTCACAAATTCTGAATGTTATCCCAGAATTTGAATTTTACGATGAGAGGTCTACCCTATTAGGTATGGTTATACTCTCTTAATAGTATATCCTATTAATCTCGATAACTGTGAAGTGTCAGTTTAACCGTCGTACAATTGAGTTTTTTTTACACAGAAGCACCACAAGAAAGAACAAAACTAACATCTAGAGTGTTTAACGATATCAATAAAAAATTTGGTCTGGAATTGGATGGATGGATAAGATTTTTGAATGTCTTCTTCATTTGACATATAAAATTCCAATCCAAAAATGGCAAGCAAGAGGCTCGGATAAAGATATTGTTGCAGAAACAAAAATACATATCCAGGCTCAGTTTAAAGAACGACTTGGCTTGATCGTAGATAAGCCTAAACCAGGATTTGGCAATACAAATGATGATAATGATGGAAATGTAATGGTATGTAATGATGGAAAAACTCCATAACTTGGACCATAACCTTGGACACAGTCCGTCCATAAGATAACGGTACAGTAGAACACTACCCGTACCTTGGATACTACTAGGACCTTGGATAATGCCCGTACCTTGTAAATAGTCCGTACCTAAAATATGAAACTCTTGTTTAAAACCAAACAAGGTCTAATAAACAAAATAAACCTACCTCGAATTACTTCCGAGGGCTCAATAAAAAACAAAGAAACTGTCCTTTCTTCCATGTAACATGCTGGAGGACAAAAGAAAAGGGACGCCAGCAAAATACAAATACAAGTTAAGTTGGGACATCCAAAACTCTACCCTAAAAATATGCAGTAATAAGATCGAATCTAAAAGGATAATATCTCATCTTTACCTGTTGGTTTGAAATAGTAGCTGATTCAAATTATACAGCAAGATTTAAATAATCACCATTTCTAAAAGCCGGGATACAACAGAGCGGCAAAACAAAGTGAGGTCAGTGTTGCCAGATGATATATTTTTTTCCCTAGATTTTTGACAGAAAATTCCCTAGATTTTCCCTAGACAAGTTTATTTTATATTTTAGTGGAAATTGGACTAATGGGAGAATAAAATGTAGTTTTAGTTATTACATTATTTTTATTTTTACTTATATAAATAACAAACTAAAAAAATGGTAACTAAGAAACGTACCTATTAATTATAAAAACAAAATAAAATTTAAATAACAGAAAAGTAACTGATTAATTCCTAAATAAACCATTATTTTAAATAAACAAACCATTTTTACTTATTTTTTTTCTCTGGATACATATTTTCTGAATTAAATTTTTTTATCATATCTGCGGTAATGGAAAAATTAAAACAATCACTTGACTTTAACAAACCTTTCACATGCAAAATACCACACAATGTGTCCGGCGACAGTCTGTTGCGAATTTTTGTTTTATTTAAATTCACCTGTGAAAAAGTCCTTTCAACGGTGGCACTTGAGTGTGGCAAGGATAAAAGTAAAAAAATACATGAACATAAATTTGAACAGAAACTACTTTGATCGCCCAAATTTAATTTAGATAATTTTAACCAAAATTCTTGTATTGGTTCAGTACTTGCAAATTCATCAAAATTTAAATTTCTTAATAAACGCCATTCTTGATCTATTTCATTTAGACGACTTCTTCCAAATGAGAAGTTTGACGCCAAGGGAGCAATTGAAGTGTATTTTTTTGACATGACGGCATCCGGTGAAATTATTGAGAGCTGTTTCAAAATTTGAGTACTTTTGTTTTTCTGATCAAACCTTTTAATAATTTGGGAACAGCCCTCAATAAAAAAGTCTAAACAACACTTCCTAAATTGAAGGAGCTCCGCTTTATTTAACCCATGTGTGTTATTTTCTACGGCGATAGTGACATGGGGACCTAAATAAATATTTTCAATTTCAAGAAAAAAACGCGGATTTCTATATTCTATGTTTTCTAGTAAAGTCTCATTCAAATAATCTCTTTTTAAATAGCAATCAAGAAGTGATCTTAAAACAGTTTGAATCTTTTCATAGAGTTTGTGAATTTTAATACTTTCAGACTGCATTTCCACGTTTAAATTAATAAAAAAAGGCAGCACAAATTCCAAAAAATATAAATATAGTTTCACCGAAGGATCATGTAGTTTATTTAATATATTTTGTGCTGACACAACTTTCTCTATTAAAGCTTCTTGGGTAAAATAAAGTTTTAAAGCGTCATATTGCTCAATAATTCTTTTTACTACGCTTAAAAGGGAAAGCCATCTAGTCTGGGAAAGCTGTAAAATTTTATGAGGCTTAACGTTAACAAATTCTTGGAATTCACAAAACTCCGTTTGCCTTTTAAAACTATATTGTAAATAAGTGTGTAGTTCTCTGCAAAGCTGTTCAGCGAAATCGGGTATTTTATTACATGCATAATTTGCACACAAACTAAAAGAGTGGCATACACATTTCATTAAAATCAGATCTGGAATATCGGCTTTAAGCTTAGTTGAAAGAGAATTATGAATACCCATCATGGTACTTACACCGTCGGACGCAAACCCAATAAGATTTTTTTTATAATCAATAGAACACGTCGCGAAAAAGTCTGTAATTGAAGTGTATAACCCTTCAGCAGTACCATTTGGTACCGGCAGTAAACCTAGGAAAATATCGTTTACGTCATTTTTGTCAAAAACCCTTGCCACCATAGCTAGACTTTTTATGGTTCCCCTATCAGTTGATTCATCTACAATCAAAGAAAAATAATTTGATTGTAGAAGTTTCACTGTGTTTTCAAAACTATACGATCCTAAAACATTTGTTATTATAGCAGTAACCTTTGTGCGATTTGCTGAAAAGTTTTTAGCTATTTCGGAGTCAGTAAAACTTTCACGAATGACCTGGGATAAATGATCAAAAGCAGTAAAAGCGATGTTGTGCTCTGCAGCGAAAGCAGCGAACCACATTTCGGCAGATTTTGTTTTTACCTCTAACAATTTTTTCTGCTGCAAAGATGGCATGTCGGTTATAATGGTTTGTTTACCTACTATAGTTTTACATAGCTTTAGATGTTTTGCGCCTTTAGAATGCTTCATTATTTCTGATTTACCACAGACAAAATCCTTATTGCAAACGTTGCAATGACCGTACGTAATCCCTTTTTTACTGCTTTCCAGCCATCCTTTAAATTCTGGCACTTCTTCCCACTGTCGATTGTACTTTTGTATGCAAGTTGTGTTTTCCTTTCTCTTATTGGCCACATGTTGGCGTTGGCTTTCTTCTGAAGATGATGGTGACGAAGGCACCAAATCATCATGACTTGACGTAGAAGCTTTAGAGGAGCTCATTTCTTAAATATTCTAAAAGAATAAATAATTCTCTATAGACTATAGTTTAACAAAACCACTTGTATATAACAGCACCGTCAAGTAAAATATATTCCCTTACTAAAAATAATATATTTATATATTATGTACTTACAGTTCTGTTTTTTATTTTGTATTCAGGACTTTTTGTGTCAGTCTTTTCTTTACCAAAAAAATGAAAGAATGAATAAAGATCTCTAAAAAATATATTCGTTTTACACTGCTCTGGGATTCCCAGTAGGGCCAGTAGTTCACCGCCAGAATTACCGAAGTCGCACCATGCATGAAACGCAAAGACGTATACATATAATTGCTAACATCAGCTAAATGGTGAAGCCAATCATAAAGGATGGATATAGTCGACCACTTCGTTTATTCACATAAGTCTATCCTTTAAAGCCAACACGCCTTGACCTTGACTGCGCATATACGTTGAACTTCTGTGAATATGTATGTTGCTTGCTGCTTTTCACCGAATGAAAGCGACGAGTAAGCTGTTTTATGTTTTGAAGGTCAAATTTTCAATAATGTCATATTTATTCCAGATTATAATATATATTAATTATTAGTATTTATAGTTTATACATTAATATTTATTAAAAATTTCACTATATTCAAAAATTCCCTAGATTTGTCAGTAAATTAAAAATAATTCCCTTTTTCCCTATGGACAGCAAAACTCCCTAGATCTAGGGAAATTTCCCTAGGTCTGGCAACCCTGAGTGAGGTTAAGCACGGAGAGAGTTGACAGAAGCGATGTTGACAGCGCCTCCTCAGAGCGATAACAGGGTTGTATCAAACGATAACAGGGTTGGCGACAAGGGGACGTAAAAATTACGCCAAGCGTGCCAAATAAATAATCAGGCCTGAACGATACGGAATCCGATGATGATAGGCCAGACATCATATATTATATATAAAAAAGACATGTAACGGACTAAAAACGTTACAGTTTAAATGGTTTAAATATTTTATTTATCTTCTGGTTGCCTATCGGTTATCGATTATAATTTGTTTATTTTTAATGAAAACGAAGGTTCATTATTAATATTTTGTTTAGTGTTGTATAATTAAGATGCAATTGTTACAAACATTTTTTTGAAGGTATGTAAGAAATTTTATCGTATGTATTATATTTATTATTAATTATAGAATTTTTATATTGACATTTGGTACTTAACGCATATTTAAATGAATGAGAGAATTCTATAAAAGGAACCGTTTTGCCGAAAATATCTCACTCTCATCTCGATCTTTTTTGAATTAACATCTAGCGTTTTTTTTGTTCCAGACACCGGCACGAGGTACGGCTTGGAATATATTTATTGGTTTTATATTTAAAACATTTCTTACCATCTAATGTACTTATTTGATTTATTATGTTGATTTAATTATTTAATTATCTTGTAAATTTAAATTCCTTTTTCTATTTTATCTTAAAATCTCAGTTCTTTTTTTATCATCATTTCTTTATCTTCTTATCTTAGTAGCACGTGTATAGTAATTTTATAAATTTTCTAATATCTTTAATTAATCTAGTACTAATTATTTTTATCTTTATTCTTTATGTACCGAGACGCAAGCTGTCCAACAGGAACCCGCAGAGGTGTTTGATTTATCAGTCCCAGGAGCCATGAATAGAAACAGCACTGCAGGAGTACTCTCAGAGGCGAACCAGGAGGGACTCTGGTAAGTAAGGATTTTTTTTATTTTTATTATACAACTTAAGTCACCTTTAACGAATCCTTGCTTGCCAGAAGGCAACTCTTGTTTTATCTGGAGCCTGTAGTGGTGGTGTCTATTGGCAGGCCATTCAACAGATAGATTTTTGTATTTGGGTCACTCTAGGTAACGTACCTTTATCTCGTATCTACCAAGTTTATCTTATCTTATCTTTATCTTATTCGGCAGATGCATATTTTTGTTCCTGGAGTGACATATCTTTTCTTTTAGTTTTTGTCTGACGAATTGCCGCACTTATCTTTTTCCGTATATCTTATCTCTTTCTTTCTATTTACCTTTATCTTTCTATCTTTTTTTATTTATCTTATCGTATGGTGAAGCCAATCATAAAGGATGGATAGAGTCGACCACTTCGTTTATTCACATATATTAACTTTTGTTCTTATTTAAATTTTCATATATTTCTAATTTTTTTGTCTTATATGTTTTATTCTTTTCACACGTGTCTACAAATTAAATCAAATAATTTACTGTAACAAACAATTGTTTTTTTTTCAAGACGTACCGAAGTGATTGTGGTGGTCTGGAATTGTCTAGAGAGAGAGAGAGAGAGAGCAAAATATTTTTCTTTTATATATTTTTTTTAATTTTATCTTTATCTATTTTTTTAAATAATTTGGACAAACTACTCAATTCTAACTTTAATTTTGATTAATTAAACTGTCATAGCCAAATTTTATAATTTTATCAATTAAATTGAATTTTCAAGTTTGTTCGATAGCAGAATTTTGTCTATTATTCATTTTTTTAATTCGTTGGCTTTTGGAGAAGACTAACAATTTATTGGTTAAATACCAATTTGTTTTTTTGTTTTAAAATTGATCAATTTTAATTTTAAGGTTAATTCTAATTTTTATTAGTAGTAATTAGATTTAGTTTAAATATTGTAAAGGCAAATAATTATACCTTTGATTTAAATTTTGATTGACTCTCATTGTACATTTTATTGGCAACAATAGACAGTCGACTTGGTACTGTTGAACATTACCACATAACTGGGTACTTAACCGTTGTTTCGAATAGCATACTGCTGTTTGTAATCTTCTAGGAAGATACGAGAATTGACCCTCCCCATAAGTAGCTCACGCACTGAGACGGGTGGAGTCTCAAAAGCTCTCCAACGTTAGCCGGACAATCACGCTACCCACCAGCGGATGAGTGCAGCGAAGAGGGTGAGGCCTTTCTCCCAACCAACCGAAGCAGAAACACATATAAGTATTCCAGTTATTTGTTACTGACAAGACTGTCACAGCCAATTGTACTAGTATTGTGAGCAATTGTTAATTGAATATAAGTCATTTATGGAATTTTCTATTGTTTTATTTAATTCCAAAGCATACTTCCACAAACCAGTAACTTTTGGAATTTTGTGGGTTATAGTACATATGTTCTAGTGTGCTAAAACAGTCTCCAGATGCTAGGCAGCGTAATGAAATTTGAAGTTTTAATTTCGGCGGCGCCAAAACTTCCCCGAACGAAGTATCTTGTTTTCGTATAATCGAAGTACCAAGTTGTAATAAATATGAAAAATTGTCAGGACTCAGCCGTAAATGATTCATAAAAGTTTGTGGGTCAGAAAATTTTACTTCCCTCAATAGATTTTCACATATACCAAAACGTTTTCGCTCTTGAACCCATCCCGGCGTCCACCATCTCCTTTGTTGACGACTTTTTTTTATCTAATATGCTTTAGTGATACTAGATATGCTTTAGACTACTCGGATACAGGAATCGAGTAGTATTCGATTCTTAAGAGAATCGAAAGTACTCGAGTACTTCAGTTCAGTATGGAATCGATTCCGATTCTTTAAAAAAATATTCGTTTCAGCATAAACCATTGATATATTACCCCTATCTATGGTATATTATAGAGAACAGAGACAGACTGACTAGGCTAGTACTCGAAACTCGAACTAGGGTATCTGTACTTTGTACTCAATCTCGAGGCACGGAACCGAATGTCATGGGAATCGAAAACCGATCCCAAACCCAAACTCGATTTTCTTTTCGAATCGGGTGTTTGGATTTTAAAGCGGCCTACTCACGTGGCAATTTGCAGGGTCCAATCTGCAGAGACCCTGATGATTGAGGCGTAATTGTACCGTGTGGAGTGCAATCGTGAACAACTTCCCGATATCGGCTAGTTGGATGTTCCGTCAATCCAATCACCCTAATACCCTGCAGCTGTCCGAACGATTTGTTCATTAGAAGAGGTTAGGTTAGATAGTTGTTTTTGTTGAAAAAGTATTTTCGTTGAAAAAGTAGAGTAGCTAATAAAAACAATAATTGAAATACAAAATGTTGGAAAAGGACATGGACCGACATTATCGACACATACCGAGATATGCCTTTTTTATGGGACAAAACAAACAGTAATTACTTGAATCGCGACATGATACAGGAAGGCTATAACATTTTGCTAGAGAAATATAAAATGTTGGATAATTTAGCAACATTAGAGGTGCTTAAGAAGAAATTAGAAAATATGCGGACAACATATAACAGGGAACTAAAAAAAGTAAGTAACTAATATCGATTTTATTTTAAAATAAAACATTATAATTGGAGGTTATAAGAGATTCTTGAAAAATTCTTTTACACACGTGTTCCAGGGACCGTCTAAACTATTCTTTTCGGGGCTTTGGGAGTGAAAAGAAGGGTAGTTTTTGGTAGAAACAACCTCATCCCGAACCATCCTAGTTCGAACCACCCTTCGAATCATCCTAGAAACTTGATTTCGTATGAAAAATTTCGTGAAATATTTTCTACAAAATTTAATATTTCATGAATTCATATTTATTCCGAAGTGACACATGTAGCACATGTGACAAATATAAGGTAGATGAACAGAAACTACAAGGGAATCTAGTTGTACCTGCAAATAAAGAAGAAACTGTAAACAAGAACAGAAAAGAAATTCATCATGTGCAATTAAATATGAAGTTACATAAGGGGGCTGACACTTTCTATAAATGGAAAAGGCAAGCCAGAAAGAAAGCTAAAAAAGATAAAACCATAGAAGCTATAACGATGGACTTCCAAAAGAACTTGCCATTGCCAAATATAAGCACAAATGACGTATACTACCGCAGGCAGTTGTCATGTTGGAATTGAAGAAACTTTGGAATCCGAAATATCGAAAGAAAAAGAGTCTATTAGTTATGACATAGAGAATATTCCAATATTCACGGAGGATAACATTAATCTTGATATTGCTAGCCCGATAAGTTCCTCAAATG